ACTGAAGGTTCTAAAATAAGAGCATACCTTACATTTGCATATCACTTCAATGTCAGTCATAATAGCCAACATTTATTGAGTGCTTCCTCAAAAGTGTGTTAGGCGCTTTTACATGGCTCATCTCATTTCTGTGAAATAGAACGGTTAAATTCAAAATCTCAAAGTAGAGTAAACTCTACCTTTTAAGAGCCTGAGTCTGAGTGAGGGTACAAGACTTGTCCCAAGTCACCTGGTTAATACGGACTGGACTTCCTTTCAGCTCTTAAATGCTGAGATTGTATACATCTTATTCACAGCTATGTTTTTAGTACTGTGCTTGCTACACAGTAGGCCCTCAGTAAGTATTTGCTGAATGAATGAATGAATGAATGAATGAGGAAAGGTGGGGCTAGGGCTCAGATCATATGCCTGCTTTTCAGGTACTTTTTCTAGTTACTTCGAAGATTAAATGAGTAACTATATGTCAAGTGTTTGAACATTCCTGCTATGTAATACGTAATCAGTTATGGTAGCTATAAACGTTACCCATAATCTCAGAATTAATTAAGTTTTTATGGAGAACTTCTATAGAAATAATCATTGATCAGCTTGAAAAACTTCATAATGAAATACATTGCTGTTGTCAGGTAAAGTTGATGCTTTTTTATAGTATTTTTTATGTACTATTTTATATTATATATGGATATTCTTGCCACTCTGGATATCACCCTACATTGAGATTTTGTTTACGACACTTACTCCAGAGTAAGATGGATTATTGTTTTGACTTAAACTCGAGCCAAGACTAAAAACGAGGCATTGTCAGCTCCGTTTTTACCAGGTGGTGGGAAGGGTAACCATGGGGGTTCCAGGTGCTTCTCCTGGTGGCCTTTTCCTAGATCTGCCTGTGTGTGATCTAAAGGCAGTCTTTGCTTCATCACTCTTCCTAACTGGAAAGTCATCAGAATTTCCCCAAACCCATGAGGACGGGTAGACTTAGTGCCAGCACACGAACATAGTGCCACCCCACTGAGTAGGTTTTGCCTAAGTTTCTTTAATTCAGTTGGAGGGAATTCTTAGGAAAGCAGCTTGCTCGTTTTACGTCCCATCCCACCCTCCCTGGAGGTGCAGAAAGCAGTCTCGGGTAAGTTGCCTCACACCCTTTCCTAAGGCCTGCCTTCCTAGGAACACCCCTAAATATGTCACTCGCTGGAGAAAAGGTTTCACATCTTTTAGTCATTTTTATCACTATGAGCAAGAAGCCTTATTGGTGACGTTACCACTTAGAAATGTAGGAGGTTATTATTCCAGCTGAAAGAGGCAATGCGGGGGGCTCTGGCCTTTTCAAACCACCACCTCTGCTCCCACAGCCCCTCACTTCTCTCCAAGACAGCGTGAGAAGTTTTCTAAAGTTGAGGCCATTCCAAGAACTAGGACTTGCATCCTCATTATTAGGGGGTAAAGTTCTTTTCTTCTTCACACACAGTCCCCCATACTTTCTTGATTCTTGACATCATTGTGGGTTCGGTCATTTCTGTCAGGACCAGTAGTGTGTGTGCTGCATTCTGTCCATACGGTGAAAGGGCACAGGACTAACCCCGAGGGGCCCCGTGGAGCCTTGGAGAATTGGATTTTAGGACAAAGCACTAGGGTGGCTATGACTGTGGTATCTTTTCAAACTGACCTTCCCACCCAGTCAGACCCAGGCTTCAATCTTGACTCCAGCCCACAGGCTGTGTGACCTAGAACCAACCGCTTAGCTGCTCCAGGCCCCGCTTCACCTTCCATTGGTGGGGTTGGCCACGTGGGCCTCAGCAGGACACCGTGGTGACTGACCACGACACGAGTGGGGAGCCTCCAGACCGACCTGGTGCTCAGGGAGTGCCCGCTTGGTGGCAGCTGCTTGCTGCACCCTCTACCGCTACAAACGCAGATTTTTCATGGAAAAGAAGATCATTGTGTTGCTACCTATAAGACACCTGACTCCATGACAGAGGCCTATTGCCGCCTCCAGGAACCCTGTCCCCACACCTGAGAACCCCATGCCAGGCTGGAAGCAGCACAGGACATGTGAGGAGGCTCATCAAGGATGCCCCAGGCCCCCAGAGACCACCCAGCTGCTGAGTGGCTATGGTGCACCCAGAGAATGGGGGGATTCGGCCCAGGGTGGGAGGGATTCAAGGAGACTTACTGAGTGGATGACAAGGGAATGGAAAACTGGGGGACCTAGCTGAATTCCAGTCAGATCAGTACGTGCTGGAAGTAGTGCCATATCCCTGAGCTGATCACACTTTGTCAGCCAGACTGACCCCACGAGCGCGGTGGGAGAAGTTGTCCTCTGCACTGTAATCAATGTGGCCCTCAGCACACACGGAAACGTTCAGCCTTACACAGATGATAATAAAGAACTGATTTGAAACACTGGTCTGGAAAGGCTTGGGTTTGCATTAAACCTGAGTAGTTTTGCAAAGTATGGGGTAAAAAGTGTATGAGGGAGGATATAGGGGTAGGTAGTGCTGGAGTCTGGGCCACTTATAAAACCCATTTGTGTATATTCTATATTTACTGATGCCCTGGTTGCTGTGGAATAGAATTGGTTTTCGTTAAAGCCATAACAGATGGGGGCTGTGCCGTCTGTGGTATGCTGAAGTAACATCCATGACCAGAGGACCCTCCTCTGCACGAATTCCTATACACTTCTTTAAGATTTAGCTCAAAACTCACCTTGCCACAAAGCATTTCCTGCTTAACGCCGCCCCTCTGGCATCATTCTGGAACTCTGAGGATCCAGCACTTAGATGTTTAGTCTTTTTTTTTTTTAACATCTTTATTGGGGTAAAATTGCTTTACAATGGTGTGTTAGTTTCTGCTTTATAACAAAGTGAATCAGTTATACATATACATATGTTCCCATATCTCTTTCCTCTTGTGTCTCCCTCCCTCCCACCCTCCCTCTAGATGTTTAGTCTTAATCATTGCAAATGTTGTCTTAAAAATCTCTAACTCTGGGGCTTCCCTGGTGGCGCAGTGGTTGAGAGTCCGCCTGCCGATGCAGGGGACACGGGTTCGTGCCCCGGTCCGGCAAGATCCCACGTGCCGCGGAGTGTGAGCTGGGCCCGTGAGCCATGGCCGCTGAGCCTGCGCGTCCGGAGCCTGTGCTCCGCAACGGGAGAGGCCACAACAGTGAGAGGCCCGCGTACTGCAAAAAAAAATCTCTAACTCTGGGTGTGTGTGTGGCTCCCCTACTCCCTCCACCCCCTTTTCTCTTTAAAATCTTTTAAATCCACCCAACTAGGGTTATTTTAGTTCAGGCCCATTTGCCCTTCACCTGGACCAGGCCCTGTCCCAGCCGGATGCCCTCCATTTCTCCACTCTGTGATCGGAGTGGTCCCTGCACAGAGCCACTCTCACCTGGCCCCCTTCTGAGACCCTTCAAAGGCTTCCGGGCCCTTCACGTGGAGGCCAGGATTCTTCACATGGCGGCGTCCTCCCCTTCGGGCCCTGCTCACCAGGGCTTACTCTCCCTCCGCCCCTCCTCTTCCCTGCAGCGTCAAGCACCTCATGCCTTCCCTCCTTGCTGTTCCCTCAGAAAGAACACGCTTCCCTCTTCATCTGGCTGCCCCTCCCCACCTCCCTCAGGCCTCGAGCCCCTAGTCCTTCCCTTCTTCCTACTCTGTTATCATTGTTTTGTTGCTGCTGCTGCTTCTGTTTGTCCCTCTGCTCCATGAGAAGGCACCTTCTGTGAGGACAGGGACTGTGTATCCCCAGGCCCTGGTGCACACGTGGCCTGGTGCAGAGAAGCAGACGTTCATCCAGTATGATAATCAATGAATGACTCACGTAAGAGGGATTGAACAAGATAATATACCTAAAGTATTTATCATTGTGCCTGGGACATCGTTGGTCCTTATACGGTTGATTGATTCATTGATTCATTCATCAAATTGTTTATTAAGTGTCTGGCCACCCTTTAAGGGGACACAGCGGCAAACACAACGGGCATAGAAATCTCTGCCCTCGTGGGCCACGCGTTCTATGTGTGTGTTTCCCCTCTTGTCCCTTTCAGCCCCCTCCCGCGACCTTCCGCCATACCCCTCGTCTTAGGACACTGTTGCCCCCTTCTCCCCGCCCCACCTGGGACACAGGTCACCAAACTGCAGCCACTCCTGTCAGAGTCACCTTCGCCTGGGAGGCAGCCTGGGGGCTTTTAGTAGATGCCAGCGGCCCCTCAGGCTGCTGAAGGAGGAATCACTTCCTCCGCCCTGGCTGGAATAAATAGGTCAGGAGTAAAATTAGAAAATCAAAAGCCCGAATCCTGGTGAAACGCTGCAGTGGAAGTGCTACTTACAGGACCTCAAAACTGCACGTGTTCTCACTTATCAGCCGGGACTGCAGAGAGCGGCCCGGTTGCCTGGAAGCCTTTGTAGAGCCAGGAATCACCTCCACTGCCCCCGCCGCAAAGCCGGAGCATCCCCACCGCCCCCTCCGCCAGGAGGAGGAAGAGAGGGCTTGAGCTGTGCAGAGCCGCTGCTGCCCCCGGCCCTGACCGAGGCCCTCTGTGGGCGCTGCCTGCCCGCACAGTCAAGGCTGAGGAGCTGTGAAGGGAAGTCTTCACCTCCACGGTGACGCAGCCCTGAGAGGGAAGCGTCTCGAGGAGGCCCAGCCATCAGTATCCCAGTGGTGCAGTAGATAGATAGTCTTTGTTGAACGCTGTCTGTACCTGGGCGGGGCCTGTTTCCCTCCCTGAGGTTTCTCACCCCACCTCGTCCCGTCCAGGTCCCTGCTCCTCTCAGCACACTGACGTCCCTGACCAGGGCTGGTGGGGTTGTGCCCTTCCTACAGGTGATTCACGTGTCCTCCAGAGTCATCTGGAAGCTGGATCTGTGGCCCCGGGGCTCACAGGCCCTCCGACCAGTCAGGGAAGGTGGGCTGCCTGCACCCTGCACACACGCCGCGTATAAACTGCTGCCGCTTTCCAGTGGGGCCGTGAGATTGATTACATCATCCTGTTTTCGTTGCAGAAATTTCCAGAACTGAAATTCAAATATGTGGAAGAGGAGCAGCCCGAGGAGTTTTTTATCCCCTATGTCTGGTCCCTGGTGTGCAACTCAGCGGTGGGCCTGCACTGGAACCCTCAGGACATCCAGCTGTTCACGATGGATTCCGACTGAGGGCGGGACGCCGTCTCCCACCCTGACCCCCTCCAGCCAAGCAGCCCTTCTACTTATTTTCTTTCTGGGGAACAGAGGTAGACAGATTCCCTGGTGCGTCTTCTATTAAAGAGGATCACACAGTCGTGTTTTCCTTGCACACTTGGGTTTGGAGAATTGGTGCCAGTTGGCAGTAGATCACTCAGTTTAGATTATAGTGCAAAAAAGGGGAGGGGACTTACACAACAATAATAAATGTAAAAACCTATTTCACATGCAATTTTATTTCTAAACCAAAAATCTAGAGCTTTTCCAGGAACCTGATGCCTTAGGCATATAACATTTTACCAGTACATACTTCTTTCTCTTTTCTTTTCTTTTTTTTTCCCGCCCCCCGCACGTTCAGGATTTTTGTTTTGGTCGTGTGTGTGTGTGTTTCAACATTGAGAAATACCAACCTGAAAAGATGACAAGACAGGAATTAATAAGGAATTGCAGCCGTGTATGCATGCAGTTGCCTTTCAGAAGGCCCATGATATAAGCCTGGGCGGTTGGATATAAGCCTTTAGATCCTGGAATCTTTCCCTCAAAGAAAGAAGTGGCTCCTTCTCATGAAGCCCAGATTAGCTTTTTTGTGGATTTGGCCTCTGAGCTGTAGCTGAATTAAATTGGAGTCTAGACTAATAGGAGAAAAAGGAGACCAATTTGATTAATACAGTATTCCACATGAGAGTAAACACATGTTTTTCTCTCCACTTCTGACTTTGTTTAAACTCTTTGGGGCCTGTGTGATCGCAGTTGTCTCCCTGAGCTTCTCTGAGGGAAACAGCCGCTGGGGTCGCCCTGAGCAGAGCAGTGGGCACTGAGGACAGAGGGGACAGGCCTTTCGAGTCACGCTCTAGGTCCATGGCCACCCCTTCACGGCCTAGTTTCACTCTCAAAGACACAAGAAGTATTTGCTTTTCTGCATAGGAAGCACATAATCCCAGATGAGACCGACCGAGCACCCGTTTCAGCCTGCCGTTGCCTAATCTGTATCGGAGGCAGCTTCTCTCCCCTGTCCCTGTGTCCCCAGCCTGGAGGCTGGAGTCATTTTGGTTCATCACCATCTTCTGAGGGTCTGGGAGGAGACAGCTTCTGTCACACCGAGCTCTGGGAAAGGCTGAAAGCATGATGTGTCAGTGCACGTCCGTGTGGTTTCCGCTCATGAAAAGCCTGGCCGCTCCATCCCCTCAGCAGCCTCTGAGGTCGGCCAGGCGGTTTCATTTTCATCAGGACAGGGGCTGAGACCGAAGCTCCCTGTGGCTGACTGACTGAGGAAGGGCCATCACTGGCGGGTGGACCCAGGAGGCGTGTGCGGCCTGCCCGCTGCTTCCTCGGCCTCAGGCCTCTGACGTGTCTCCACGAGTGGCTGGGGACTCTGGTTCTTGCCTAAGGTCTCACGGACAGGGCCTCAGACCCGCAGACAAGTCATGTGAAGCACTTCTGCGTAGTCTGGCTCGTGAGGAGAGGCAGTTGGAAGGTGGAAGGAGGAATCCTCCAGTCAGAAAGGGGAAATGATCGGATTATCATTTCAGGTAGCAATTATTTTTATTTCCTATATGGGAACGTGATATATAGCTTTAATTTGTTTCCAAAGCACTTTGATCTGCTTTCCTTCATTTAAACCAAAACACAATTTTTAAAGGGTCACATGGAGCAGCTGAGCCCCTGGTAGGACCCTAGAACTAAGAGTCACTGGGCTGCAGGACCGTCAGTTCTTGTGACAGGAGATATGGTCCCCCAGAACTTGGTCATCGAGCGCAAACTACCAAGGAAGCCTTGATCGAGGGAGTCCTGCAGTCTCTTCCCCAGGCCACCTGGCTCACTAGGTGCCCCCAAAGCCCCGTTCTCTGGCAGTGCCCTCTCCCTCCCTCCCCGCCACTTTTAATTAATCACACAGTAGAAGTGCTCGCTGGCCTAAAAGCTCAGCTGGGGCTACAGCCTCGGAGGAAGTGTGTGAGTACCCACTCCCAGACACCACTGCATCACTGCTTCCACTCTGCAAATCCGCCACGAGTCTCCTCTTTATTTTTGTGGAAGATTTACTACATGACAATAAATTTAAATGATAAACTTGAATTATGCTTGCATTAATTTGCTTAGAAATTGTTTGGTTTTCCACAAAGTAAAAATGTGTAGAATGAGGCAATACAGGACCATCATGTGTTTGAATGTAAATTAACATCTGATTTTACCCAAGATACAGAGCTGTTATTGCAACGTGTCATCTCTTCAACAAAGGGTTCTGTCATAATATTTATTTTTAAAAGAATGTGCCCCCTTTCAATAGCACCTTTCCTATCGAGAGTTCAAGGCACTGTGCAAAAAAGCTTCAGAATTGTAACTCTGGTTCCCACATCACCCGCTGAGGCTGGTGTCACAGGATCTGTAAACAGCAGCCTCGCAAGGTTGGCGTCACAGGATGGCCACCGTTCAACAGTGCAGACGGAAGCAAGGCTGTGGAGCAGCTCAAGGACAAAGACAGAGAAAGGAAAGAAAAGAAGATCCCCGGAGCACAGAAAGTACACTGCACACACAGTCCTCTCCTTCGGAAGGAAATCGCAGGAACTGTAGAAGACGGAGAGAGGAAAGAACATAGGACCAGTGTCAACCAGAACACTCAGTAGCTTCCTCCAGCTTGTTTAGGGTACCCCCAAGAGGAACGTTTAGTGGGGGGTGCTTTTAGGCCCTAAATTTCTTAGTATATCATTCTTTAGGCAACATACTGCCCTGTAGGTTCTGTGGAGCCAGGGTTTTGCATTAGACGTTATAGCTCTCTGCATAACTGAGTCACTGCTTTCCAGAGCCATAAATTAGAGTTGTGGTACTTTCTGATACTTTATAAGCTTGAGTTTGCAAGGTCAACCCTTTGGTCTCTTAATCTCCTCCTAAGCACTATGCCTGCAGTTTCTGTAGCTGCCATTTGATATTAGGGGCTGATCCCTGGGCATACTGACACCAAATTCAGGGCTATTCCAGTGTCCTACGTCGCTTCCAGGAGTCAGGGAGCTTCTAGTCTCTGACAAAGAGCCATGCTTCCTATGAATATGACACAGCTGAGGAATGGATTATAGCACAAGCCACAGCAAATAAAGCATTTTTATTTTTTAAGAATTCAAAGCATAAAATTTGATCTCATTACATCCGTTTGGGATCTTCCACCCAAAGCCAGGGAGATTCATCAGGAGCTCCCCACCCACTTGATCAGGTCATGTGTGGCAACCCCTACCGTCCTGACTTCACAAAGCTATCAAAAGTGCCAGCTACTCAGACACAGCCTCTGGAAGTAGCAGAAGCTCCCCTCCAGAAGGAAAGCAGTCTCATATGACTAACCAGGTAATGCTTCATGATTCTGTTGGCCCTGGGCTGACTGCAACAAAATTTTAAAATATTTCGTCCAGATTTCCAAGTTCCCCTTAGCTGGAGGGTTGGTTTGGATTACCTGGTGCTCCATTACTATCAGCAGACTATCTTTCATGGGTACTGTGACCCAGCTTCTAAATCACCTCAGTCACCGAATGTGGATTGAGGTGAAACCAGATTACTAGTGCCCCCAGTGCTTTGCAAATGTATGTTCTCTCTGGAAGACATGAACTGTTACAGACTGAATGTATCCTCCAAATTTCACGTATTGAGCCCTAACCCCCAGTGTGATGGTATGAGTAGGTAGAGCCTTTGGGAAGTAATTAGGTTTAGATGAGGTCATGATGGTGGAGCCCCATGATGAGATTAGTGCCCTTATAAGAAGAGACATGAGAGAAATCTTTCTCTCCAACATGTGGAGACACAGCGAAGAGACCACTGTTTATAAGCCAGGAGGAAAGCCCTCACCAGGAATGTAATCAACCAGCACCTTAATCTTGGACTTTCCAACCTTTTCATACTTTTCAGAACTGAGAAATCAATGTCTCTTGTTTAAGCCACCCAGTCTATGGTATTTTGTTATAACAGCCCAAGCTGACTTAGGAGCACAACCCAAGGCCTCAAATTATTTCTGTTATAATCAAATATCCAGGTATATGAGAAGACCAAATAATATAAATTACATGAATTAAAACCAGAGGGAAGGGCTTCCCTGGTGGCACAGTGGTTGAGAGTCCGCCTGCCGATGCAGGGGACACGGGTTCATGCCCCGGTCCAGGAAGATCCTACATGCCGCGGAGCGGCTGGGCCCGTGAGCCATGGCCACTGAGCCTGCACGTCCGGAGCCTGTGTTCTGCAACGGGAGAGGCCACAACAATGAGAGGCCTGCGTACAGCAAAAAAAAAAAAAAAAAAAACCAGAGGGGGAAAATGGGCATTTTCCAGATGCCCATGCTCCAGATGTCTCACAGAATTTGAAACACCTGTGCTTTCTGTGTTAAAGGAAAAAAAAGCACGTGCCCAAGAATTTCAGAGAATTAGAAACAATAAAAGGGACCAAATGGAAATTCTAGAACTGAAAAATATAACAAAAATGCAGAATAATTCAGTGGATGGGCTCAAGAAGAGGTGAAAAGTCAAAGTTATACAAAATCAAGTTACAGAAAATTTCAACAATGCAATTAGAAAACTTGCAATTCTATAACTTGAGTAAGGTGAAAAGCCAGAGCAAAACCAGAATCAAAAAGATAGGGCTTCCCTGGTGGTGCAGTGGTTAAGAATCCACCTGCCAATGCAGGGGACAGGGGTTTAAGCCCAGGTCTGGGAAGATCCCACATGCCCCAGAGCAACTAAGCCCATGCACCACAACTACTGAGCCTGTGCTCTAGAGCCCGTGAGCCACAACTACTGAGCCTGTGAGCCACAATTACTGAGCCCGCGTGCCACAACTACTGAAGCCTGCACGCGTAGAGCCCGTGGTCCACAGCAAGAGAAGCCACCGCTTGCCGCAACTAGAGAAAGCCCACGTGCAGCAACAAAGACCCGCTGCAGCCAAAAATAAATAAATTTTTAAAAGATAGCAAATAGAGGGTTAAGAGACATGAAGGATACAGTGAGGATATCAAAAGCATAAAAGAGTGGGATAGTTAAATAAATATTGGCTGAGAGCTTTTCCAAAACTCATGAAAGATTTCAAACCATAAATTCAAGAAGCCCCAACAAATCACAAATGGGATAAATAAAACACAATCCACATCTAGACACATAACAGTAAAACTGTTGAAAACCAAAGAAAAGGAAAAATTTTAAAGCTACTGAGGGGTGAGGCACGGGTAGGAGAGGGATTACCATCAAAGGAGCAACAATTAAACTGACAGCTAACTTCTCAGCAGAAGCAGCCTTTGAAGTGCTGAAAGAAAATGACTGCCAACCTAGAATTTTCTAATTGGGGAAAGTATCCTGCAAGGATGCAGAAGAAATAAAGACATTTTTACACAAAGAGCTGGAAGAATTCATCAGCACACATACCCTAAAGGAAAATTAAAAGTATTCTAAAGGCAGAAGGAAAATGATCCCAAACGTAAGGATAGAGCTTCAGGAAAGATTGAAGAGCAATGAAAATGAGAAATGTACAGGTCAACATAAATACTAACTACATAAAAATAATTATGTCTTGTGAAGTTTAAATATATATCGAAATGTGTTCAAGTAAAGGTATATAGGTGGGGAGGGCTTTAATAGGCTTTAAGTGTTCTAAGCCTCTTGCATCATCCAAGAAGAGAGTTTTTAAAAATCCAATTTAATGTTAGACTTTGATAAGTCTAGGATGTGTATTGTAATAAATATTAGTTAAAAGGTGTATAACTTTCAAGCCAGTGAGGGAATATGGAATAATTCAATGAACAGGTTTAAGAACTGCAAAAGGAGGGAATAAAAAAAGAATCGGTGGTACAAATAAAAAGCAGTTTGTAAGATATACATGATAAATCCATTATTACATTAAATGTAAATGGGCTAACTAACACTCAAGTGTTGACAAAGATTGTCAGGCTTGATTTAAAAAGAATTACCGTAGTAGTTAGAAGATCTAGGGATGTAATGTACAACATGATAAATATAATTTAATACTGCTGTAAGTTATATATGACCATTGTTAAAAGAATACATCCTAAGAGTTCTTACCACAAGGAAAAAATTTTTTTTTCTATTCCTTTTATTTTGTATCTATATGAGATGATGGGTGATCACTAAACTTACTGTGGTAATCATTTCATGATATATGTAAGTCAAATCATTATTCTGTACACTTCAAACTTGTACAGTGCTGTATGTCAATTACATCTCAATAAAACTCAGAAAAGAATTTAACAGTAAAAAATGAAAATTAAAACAACTATATGCTGTTTACAAGAGACACTTTTAAAACATACGAATTTTGAGGACTACCCTGGTGACGCAGTGGTTAAGAGTCTGCCTGCCAGTGCAGGTGACACCGGTTTGAGCCCTGGTCCGGGGAGATCCCACATGCTGCGGAGCAACTCAGCCTGTGCGCCCAACTACTGAGCCTGCGCTCTAGAGCCCGCGAGCCACAACTACTGAGCCCACATGCCACAACTACTGAAGCCCATGTGCCTAGAGCCTGTGCCCCACAACAAGAGAAGCCACTGCAATGAGAAGCCCACGCACCACAACAAAGAGTAGCCCCTGCTCGCTGCAACTAGAGAAAGCCCATGTGCAGCAACGAAGACCCAACGCAGCCAAAAATAAATAATAAAATAAAAAACATTTTTTAATGAAAAAAAAAAAAAATTTAATTAAAAAATACGAATTTTGAAAAAAAAAAAATACGAATTTTGAAAGAAAAGGATGGAGAAATATACACCCAGCAAACAGCAACTATAAGAAAATGGTGTAGATATATTAATATTACAGCAAACTTTAAGGCAAAAACTTTATTAGAAATAAAAACAGTCAATTCAATTACCAGAAAGAGGTAGTAATTCTAAATTTTATGCACTTAGTGATACAATC